GTCCCTGTGCTTTGCTAAGCTTGTTGTAAGTAGGTGCTTTAGACCACTGAGCCATCTCACCAGCCCCTCACTAACTCTCTTCTAAGTTGATTGCAGCAGAACCTGCTGTTTAAAGGGCACCCCCAACATGCACCTGCCCTGGAGGGGCCCTGGGGCTGTGCCAAGGAGTAAGCCATCCCCAGAGGCTTGGCCGACTACCCATCCGAGGCCTTTCCAGCTGTGGTGCCGGACATTGTGCCTTTCCATGAAAGGGGATCTGCAGTGTGGCTGTCACTGTGGGGGGTGCTTGCTGTCCCCCATATTCGCAGCTACCCACCCAGCCCCTCATAGGCACTAGCTGGGTGGTCAGCCACAGCTGAGCAGTGGAGGGGAGAAATCCCCCTGGGGCTGGACCAGGATGCTGGCAGAGGCTGGGAGAGGGGCCAGCTGGCAGGAGGAAAGGGTGGACTCCTTCACTGTGCAGGTAGTCCTGTTCTTGCTGGTGGGCTCCTAGGGGCAGGATTGCTGTGCGTTTCTACTCATAATGCAATTGCTGCGGCTTAGTCAAAGATGTTGGGGTGCCACACTGGGCAAGGAAAGCCACGTGACTTCCTTTATTGCAGGACTTCGCAGAACCTTTAATATACCGCCCTTCATAATGACTTTCCAAGATGGGGTTGATGTCTGTGGTGTTGCCCCGACTAAGGTCCTGTAGAACAGTCAGGGAGCCGACTTGCTGTCGCCCCTCGATGCACAAGTGAGGGACCGGGAATCGCCAAGGCCACACAGCTAGTTAATTGCAGAGAAGACCCTGAGTGCAGCCCTCTGTTGTGCTTCCTCAAATACACAATGTATTTGCTGGGTCCCGGGACCAGGGCTGGGGCAGGGGGTGGTGGGAACGAGGCCCAGTGCAGGCACCCAAGGAAAGGGGGCTCAGAAATTGAAGGTCAGTCTCCATGAGAGGAGCCTGTCTTCTGGCTCTAGGGTGGCAGCTGTGGCTTCAGAGGGTCTGAGAGCTGACAGAGGACTTGTGGCCCAGCATAGACCTGGGCTGCCTGGACAGGAGGGTGGTTCTGGGCCCAGACCAGCCAGCGCCGGGAAGACGCGGGCTGTAAATCTCCAGTGGACCACAGACCCAGTGCCATCCCCACGGGTTTCCTTTCCGCTTCTTAATCCTCCTCCTCAGACTCAGTAACAGAAAGCAGATTCCTGCTGGGGCCAGTGTTGCGCGGCAGTGGCTGGGAGAGGGGAGCCCGGGAGTTACCACATCAAGATCCTGCTGGCCTCACTTTTCCTTTCTTCCCCATGTAGCTGCTGTTAGCTGGAGAGCTCGGCCTGGCCCTGGCGCGGCGCCCTCACCCCCCTGGGTCCCCACTTCCAGCCTGGCCCAGCCTCTCCTGCAGTCGAGCCCAGCTTGGCTGTAGCTTCAGCGGTCCCTGCTCCTTGGGCTCACCAGGGCTGTGGTTCCTGGCCCTCCAGCACCGTGGTTTGGCTCCCTCATGCCTCTCCAGGCCGCAGCTAGGGCTGCCTCCGTGTGGGAGGATAAACACTGTGGATCTGAACTCAAATCCTGGTGCCGCTGACTGCTTGCACTTCCTTCTGGGAGCCGAGATTGCTCAGCCCAGTGGAATGCAAGAAAGCTCCCTGGCAATGCGAAGGGGCTGACAGATGCTCTGTTTTGACAAAGAGAACATAGCTGTTTGTTCCAGGTTGTTGCAAGAGTCGAGAGACACTGATGTGGTGTCCTCTTGTGAGCTCCAGACTGGGGAAGCTGAGGCAGGAGGATTGCTGAGAGTTGGAGGCCAGCGTGGGCTGTGTAGTGAGTTTGAGGCCATCTGAACTACAGAGTGAGAGATACTCTCTGGTCTTGAGTGCAGTGCCACCAGTTCAGCTGCCAGAGGGAGATTCCACAGGTCAGAGCGTTGGGCATGTGGAGGCAGTCTAACCCAGTGCTTTGGCGTAGAACCTGGGTGAGCTCCCTGGATTCTCAAGGTATCCAGGCTCTTTGGTAGAGAGAACAGACTAGAACTCTGGGTCCCCCTCTGCCTGTACCCCCCCCCCATGCTCCGGTAGACACAGTCATGCTTATCTGTTTTGTATTGCTGAAAAGAAAGTGGGGCCGGGGAGATGGCTCAGTAGGATAAGCGCTTCCCTGGCAAGCGCAAGGATCTGAGTTCAATCCCTGGTTCCACAAAAAAAAAAAAAAAAAAAAAAAAAAAAGTTTGAAAAGCATTGACCTGGGGCTGGGGAGATAGTTCAGCAGTATAAGAGCCTGCCTGGCAAGGTCTTGGGTTCAATCCCTAGTACCACATGCTGTGCCACCCCAGAACTCTGGGTGCACCGTGTTGGCCACTGAAACCGGGCATGGTGGTGCACATCTATAATCCCAGCACTGGGGAGGCTGAGACAGGAGGATCACTACAGCTGTGTAGTGAGACCCTGTATCAAATCAATCAATCAATCATTAAAAAAAGAAAAGCACTGACCTGCTTTAATAATGCCATTTTATAGATGAGGAGACTGAGGCCCTGAAAAGTTAAGCGACTTGGGTCAGGTCACCCAGCTGGCTGGTAATGGCTTCAACCAGAATGGGCCTCATTTGTTTTGTTGTTGAGACAGGGTGTCACTATGTAATGCAGGCTGGCCTGGAATTCACAGTGGTCTTCCTGCCTCAGCCTCCCAAGTGCTGGGATTACAGGTGTGTGCCACCATACCTGACAAGAGTGGGTCTTGTGACTCCTGGCACAGTGTTTTTTGTAAACAGTGTAGGAGACTGAGGAGCCCTGGCCAGCCGTTGTAGCAGGGGTTGCCAGCCCACAGAGGAGCCCTGTCAGCCCTGCTGTGTGGCCCTGCGGACCATGGTGTCCCTAAACTTCTGGGACTCTAGGACTCTGGCTTGTACCCAAACCAACAAAGCAGCAAGGGCTCTGAAGGGGAGAGGCAGACAGGAAGGGACCACACGGAGGTGGCCAGTTCAGAGTATAAATCCCTTCAAGGTGCTGTCCTTTGCCCAGGCAGGTTGGAGATAGAGTCTCTCCGACCTGTGAGGAGAGAGGGAGGGAGTGCTGGGGGTACCAGCCACTGGCCATGGGCCATTTCTCATAGTTGGTCTTTTTCTTTCAGGAGTGAGAGGCCATGGGCCAGACCAAGGACGCCACAGGAACCTCTATCCAGCCAGGTCGGAGGACAAGGGGAGTGTGCCACGGCAGCCCTCCACTCTCCACCACCACCAGGTTGCCTGAGGTGGAAGTAGGCCGACCTCTGTCACCTCCTGTCCTCCGCCAGTTTTCGGCATGGTTGTTTTGCACTTTGCCTGCTGCCCAGGTGGTGGAGAGCTCAGCCTTCCTCTTGCTCAGCCTCAGGGCCTGAGGCTGCAGAAATTCATTGCCAAAGATTCGACAGAGACACTGAACAAGATGGGGGAACGAAACCTGCCGGTGAAAAGCCACGCCGTGGCTCTGTGACTTGGTTCCTCCCATTGCCTGAGTCCTATCTCAAGCCAAAGATGAACTAGCAATGCCACCAGGAACTCTGGAAAGCATGGGCATTTGGTGACCATGGGAAGCATGTGACCCTCTGACTGTTGCTCCGTCTACACTGGCGCCTGAGTTGGCTGGGTGCAAGTTAAACCTTCTAGGAATGCCTGGGAGGATGGAGAGGAGGACCCGAGATCCCCGTGCCCTTATTTTTCTTATACCACCTGCCCAGGCCTTGGACCCGGATTGTCATGTGCTCTGGGCCCCGGCCTCTGAGGGTCTCAGTGGCCCGAGAAATGAGTAGGGTGGGGGTAGAAGCAAGAGCACCCCACCCCCACCCAGGAACTCCAGGTCTTTGCTCCTCTAGCCAGTGGTCTCTCTTCAGGCTGGGAAAGCAAGATGGTACCCTGTGGGAAGGCAGTGTTCTGTTATAGGTGGGCAGGAGGGTAGAGGGAGGAAAGGACCAGGGGAGTAGCCCTGGATGTGGCGGGGGTGGGTATGTTCAAAGCCAGGGCCTGCCCTTTCCTTGTGCTCAAAAGGCCAAAGCTGTTCACATCTGTGCTCAACCATCTGCTTCAAATTGAAGTAAAAGCTCCATCATATAAAGAAATACTTGGTTTTCTTGAGTGGACATAATGGGTGACCAGGCCTTTGCTTGGCCTGTCCTTAGAAGGGGTGTTACAAGGGAGAGAGCTGGTCTCTAGAGGCTTCAAGCTACTTAGGCAGGCAGTGTAGGTGTGAGGGGCCAGAGGGTCCCCACCTTGGCCTCAGCCTGGGCCAGAGACCAGAAGGCCCTGTCCTGAACTCTGGAGGGACCTGGTTCAATTCATACCTCACAAGCTTAGGGAACAGGAGCACTGTTAGTCTCGTAACACAGATGAGGCCCAAGTAGAAAGGGTCAGTCAGTGACAGAGCCAGTTCTTGACTCAAGATGGGCTTCCTCCAGATGTTCTGCTCCAGAACCTTCTCCAGCCCTAACACCAGTCCCAGTCCACAGTCCTGTGGTCCTGCCAGGTCACTTAAGTGAACCAAAGATAGGGACAGTAAAAGGCCATGAGAGACAGAGGAAAGAAAGGAAGAAACAGGAAAAGAAGGTGAGAATGTTAGGGACAAGGCCACCCAGGGAAAGGGGACAGAGATGGAGGATGGCGATTGCGGCCACACCGGGCAGTTTGTCCCTGCGTGTCATCCAGTGCCACACCTTCTTTTCTGTGCCTGGAGGCCTGGGCCCAGCTGTGTCATGGAGCTGGCTGCAAGGAGCCTCCTACTCACATGCCAGGCTCCAGGTGTGGCCTTTGGCCAAATACCCTGAGTGACACAGAAGCAGGGATCTGAGCAAAGTTCTTGCAAAGAGGCTGGACAGAATGAATGGAAGGGGACTATGAAGGATGGTGAAGAAGGGCCAGCAGCCACGGCTGCAGGCACAGTTCCTGGTGGCATTCAGTGGTGGCACTTCAAAACAGGGAATGCAGCCCCAGCAGCATCCAACTGTTGGCCATGAGCTCTTTCTGTGATGTGCCCAGGACCCCCTCCCCACCCCTCTTCCGCGCTCATGGCCTTCTTCGCATGCATCCCTTCTGTCCTGAAACACTTGCCTCAGCTGTGCACAAACCTCAGGCGAGGGCCCGTGCGCAAAGGTAGCCCCTTCACGGGGCCTGAGACTGTGCAGCAAGTGGGACCAACAGAGAAGAAAGGATTAGGATAGACAACTGAGATACTGTCGGTGCTTCAACCAAAAAGAACTAGCTCTCCCTGAGGGTATCAGAAAGGGCTTATGGGCCACGTAAATTGGGTCTTGAAGGGCCAGGAAAAGTTTTCTGGGCAGAGGACTGCTCTCCTTTTTAGCTTCCTCCTCTGTACGGCAACTTAGGGTTTTGCACGTGTGTATGTGTGTGTGTGTGTGTGTGTGTGTGTGTGTGTACATATGTACATATGCCCTCTCCTGTGTACCTGACATACCCTGGACCTTCATAGGGACAGGGGCAGATCTTGTCCACTCTGCCAGCAGCCAAGTCAAAAGACCCTCACCAAAGTGAATGACAGAGAGCCCCTGTGGGGCCTGGGAGGGCGCATTCCAGTCTGGTCCGGGGTGTGAGATCACAGAGACACCTGCAGATATGTTTGTGACACACCCACATTTTCTAAGCCCAATGGTCCCATGTGGATGTCACATGGAGGCCTTCTGTGTACACATCTGTGTGTGTGTACATAACAGGCTCCCTGCTTCCCCTTGGGCAAAGCCAGGCAGGACGGCCAGGGTGTTGAAGGTGCTCTGCTCATGGGCCTGAGGGGTCCCAGGCCACACTGGGAGCCAAGCTGAGACAGCTGCACAGGGCTGCACGGGAGCTGCAGGGTGGGCGGTGCCACCCTCCCTGCCTGAGGCCTTGTCCAGGGTCCCAGGCGGGGGCAGCTACCAAAGTTGGGCCTGGTGCCTACTGTGGTCGGCCTTGCCTCCCTGCCTGGGGTAGGGAGTGGGGTGGGGTGGGGGGTGGACTTGGCTTCCTCCTCCGCTGCTTCCTGGCCCTGCAATGGCCACTGCCAGCAGCCGGATGACAGGCAGCCTGGCCTTTTCAAAGCCAGGCTCAGTGGTGGTGAGCTGCCATTCTCCTCTGTCTTCCCGCTGCTGCCCCCTTCCCAGCTTTTGCTTCTAGGCCCAGGGCGGGCGCTGAGCCCAAGCCCTGCTTTGCCTCATGGGCTTTCCCACACGTCTGCCTTCTGTCCCCAGGACCCCTCCCTGAAGCCAGGCACGCCAAGGAATCCAGACAGATAAATATCGACTGTTTTACAGATCTCTGAGCAGAGTCGCATCTCCAGATGGCACTATGGAATTCCTAGAGGGCAAACATCGGGTATAATTCATCTTCAAATCCTGGAAAGGGCACCGCAAATTGAATGCACTGGTCTTTTAGTGGAATGAATGAATGAATAAAATAATAGAAAACTGAGCTGGGTGTGGTAGTGTTCCTCGGATCCCTGCACTCCAAGACGCTGAGGGAGGAGGATCACAAGTTCAAGGACAGTCTGGGTAATTTAGTGAGACCTTGTCTCAAAATAAAAAAAATAAAATTGGGCAGGGGATGTAGCTCAGTGTGGAAGCCCTGGGTCTAATTCTCAGTACTGGGGAGGAGAGGGGAGGAGTAATTCACTCATGTTTTGGTTTTCCTCCCTCTGCCAATAACTACCAAGCACCTATTTGTGCAAGATCCCAATGGTCCAAAAAAAAAAAAGAAAAAAAAAAAGAAAGCCCTAAACGCCCCGGGAGATGGCTCAGTGGAATAAGTGCTTCCCTGGCAAGCGCAAGGGTCTGAGTTCAATCCCTGGTTCTGCCCCCCCCCCCAAAAAAAAGACCCCAATGGAATGAGGCCAGGGCCAGGTGACAGTTTACAAGGTCAAAAGGAGAAGGGGCTAGGGCCAGGCTGAAGCCTGCTGGACACTGGATGACTGTTGATCCAGCCATGCCCCTCTAGCCCCATCCCCCATGACACTGACCAATGGCGACACTGACCAATGGCGCTTTTTTTCAAAGTCCCTTGCTCCTCGCAGCTCCTGTGAGTCAGACCAGCAGGACCTCTCTTCTCAACCTGGGCAGAGTCTCAGGGGTCCCTGGAGCACCCCCACATCTGGGGGGGGCATCAGGACAACATGGCTGAGGGTGTGCTTATTGGTGCCCACGGGTCTCTGGTCCTTTCTCTGCTTTTTCCTCTGCATGGCTGACACAGGCTCATCTCCCACATCTCTCCAGGGCCCATGACCTGCAGGCTGAACGCCAGGCCCCTGTGCTGCCTGTGATGGGTGGTCCCACCACTCCTCCAACGTCTCCAAGGTCTCACAGTTTTCTCTAAGCCTGGCTGGGCCCCAACTTGGCCTTCCAGGGGTACTGTCCAAATTCCATCCTGAGGTGCCAACAGACCCTCTCTAGATCGTGTCCACTTTTTCCCTCTGGCTGCCTGGAAGCAAGGTTCTTCCTAGACCTGCACGTTTGCCTGGTGATCTAACCTTCTTCCATATAGCTTCACACCAGGCCCTGGGCTTCTCTGGGAACTTGGGTTTTTTTAAATCCCAGAACCTAGGACAGGGAGGCCCTGTTTAACTAATAGCAGTGACCTAGTATCTGCCTTTCTGTCCTAGGGCTTACCTTTCTCTTTCACCTATAAATAAAAACATCCCTTCCCTGTCCAATGGGAAGCAAGCCCAGCAGCCACCCAGATCCCAGACCCCTGCAGAATCTTGGGAACTCACATCCTGGAACTCCTGGGTCCACAGAATTCCACATCTTGCCTTCACCAACTTCCTGTGCCTGATTCCTTTCTTCCAGCCTGCATCTGGGCCAGGGAACATGGGCACTTCCTCCATGTTCCCAAAGTGTCACTTATAAATGGTATTGGTATGAAATCGTTTTTCCTATTTTCGATGCATTTAAAAAATGTTTATATTCACAAAACAAACAAAAAGCAGAACAGGGCTTTGCCTTTGGTTTCCTCATTTTTGTAGCTAATTTCATTTATCTTTTTGACAGGTTCACCGTATTTTTGGCTGTTAGAAATTTCTCCCCACTCTGGCTTTGTTCTTCAATATGACATTTCTGGGCAGTGACTCACCCAAAGTTGTCCCACAGCTGGTGCTTAAATCCAGTCTTTTTTTTTTATTTTGACAACTGCCCCCCACATACACCTCCTGCTCACTGGCTCCCTGGTCATCACCAAACCTGGGCCCAAGAATATGTGACAATAAAGTATGGTGGCCAGTGATTGCCTCCGGGGCAGCTGGCCAGGCCGCCCACACACTCAGCTGTACAAGACCCAGGTCATGTCTCTGGGAGGGGTGACATGTGGCCCTGGAGCAGCCTTTCTGGGCCCCAGTTCCCTGCCCCCAAGGCTTGTCCAGAGGCAGCAGATGGGCAACGACGGGGAGGAGGGGACAGGCTGGCAGAGCCAGAGCCATGCCCCAAACCACCTTCAAAGCCATCTGGTCCACAGACGACATGCTTTTATCCTTGGGATTGCATTTCCAGGCCCACAACCAGAAGTTTCTCGAGAATTCCCCCCTTGCATGGGGGGAATGCATGCACACACACACACACACACACACA